GGGCCCTGCCCCCAGCCTGCAGCCCCCAGGACCAGCACCTGCGGGAGATGGCTGTGCTGAACCCCGAGCTCGGCCATGGCTCCAATGTCTTCCAGGTCTTCAGGTCCCTGCGGATCACTGGCAAGGGAGTAAGTGTGGCTGCTGGGGTCCTGTAAAGCCACCAGGCCAGGAAGCCATGTCTTCCTGTTGGGAGGGAAACCATCCTGGGTCTTCCCCATCCCAGGGTCTTCCCAGATGTCACTGCTTAGCTAGGGTAGAGCTGTTGGCCTCCCCCCCCGGCGTGTTGCACTAATCCCTGTTACACGTGTGTCACATGGATCAACACTACACATCCACGTTCCCTAGGCCATGAGGTGGCTTGGGAATATGTTGGTCAAACCCAGCTCTCTGCAGGTGGAGGAGGTGGACGAGGGTCTGTTGCAGTTGCAGCAGCTGGAGGAGCTCATCCTCAGTGCCAACCAGATCAGCAGAATCACCTCAGCTCACCTGCCCCAGACACTGAAGGTGAGCAAGCAGTGCCTCATGAGGGCAGGATAAGGAGGGAGGTCCCACCTGGGAACACAGCATGTGCTGAGCAGCAGGGAGTGCCAGGAACAGCTTATTGCAGAGTGTTTGTTGTTCCCTCTGTCCTGGGAAGGTCCTGGAGCTCTGCTGCAACGCTGTGGCTGATCTGCAGGACCTGTGTGCTCAGCCTCCTCCAGAGCTGCAGCACTTGGGGCTGGGATACAACCGGCTCAGTGGCCCTTTGCAGGACAAGTGCCTTACTGTGGACTTCTGGTAATGCCATGGGATCAGTGTGGGGTCCTGAAGGGAGGTGGGCAGATGTTGTTGTGGGTCAAACTGGCAATGGACCATATGACTCAGGAATTTGGAATTGACCTCTTGAGATTGTACCATTGGAATCCCCAGTTTAACCCAGATGGTGCTGGGGAAACAATTTTAATTTTTTTTTTTTTTTTTACACTGAACAGTAGCTCTCTGTCCTCAGATGGATGCTGTTTGTTTAACCTTCTTCTCTGGGTTCTCTTCCTTAGGCCAAATCTTGTCTCCCTTGACCTGAGCTTTAACAACCTCACAGACCTGCTGGGGCTGGTCTCCCAGCTGTCCAGTCTGCCGAAGCTCCGTGTCCTGGTGCTCCAAGGGAACCCACTGGCTCTCATTCCCACTTACAGAGGCTTCCTTGTGGACAGCCTGCCCAAGCTCTCTATCCTTGATGACATCCACATCGAGCCTGATGAGAGACTCCAGTTCCATGGGTTGGCAATGCAGCCAGGTGAGCCTTTGCCTTTGAACCTGTCTGTGCTGACCTCGTGGTTCAGGAGGTGGTTTCAGTGTTTCTGAGGTAGGAGCTGTCAGGGCAAACTGTGGATCCAGTAGTGCCTTCCTTCTTGCCTCTCCTCAAATGGAGATCTTTCTGTGTACCTTTTTACCCCACTAGTACTAGTGGGGAGATGGACAGAGGATCCTGCAGCATTGTAATGACAATCAGGGTAATTTTAGCCTTAAGGTCCAACGATTGCTGGAAAAACATGATCCTAGCACTGCTACGTGTCATGGCCTCCCCCATCTTTGCTTCCTAGGCACTGTCTGGTTTTATTCTGTGTTTTTCCCCCTTGAGCTGCTGAAAGAGGAACATCTCCACTGGGGAAGATGCTCGTGTGTGCTGCACTCTCTGTATGAATCAGTGCCACCTCTGAATGTGGCACATCGCCAGCTGGGATGACAGCAGGGAGTGGGGACACTCGGGGCCTTGGAAACCCCTCTCGGAGGTTCCTACTCAATGAGTTTATGGGCTGGTTGTGCTCTTTGGAGTCTAAAACGTTAACCAGGGAGGCAAAGCAACCGAGCTGGGAGATGTTTGCATGGCTTTGGGGTGACCCCATGTGGCAGTGGCTTGTCACAGCGTTAGCACAGGGTAGCAGGGAGGGCCGGGTAGTGGGACACAGTGTTCTGGGGGCTTCCACTTGTTCTGTACCTTCTTCACTCTGGAAGAAGCAAGGTACAGCTTCACAGCAAGATTATCTTCCTTTTAGAGCTGGCCAGGAGTGAAGCACGAGTGGTTGTGAGTGTTGGGGAAATCAAGGGAGTCCCTGATCCCAGCGCTTGGCAGCAGCTGGAGGCTGAATCTGAGGCTCCACTCATCACCTACAGCTACTGTGTCACCTACGAGTTTGCAGAGGGAGAGGAGGTGGAGGACAGAAGCAGCACTGAGGTTTGTGCTTAACTGAGCTCCTGAAAGCAACAGTATCAGGCCACAGCAAGGGGGATTTCACCTCCAGGCTGTGGAGCAAGACCATTCGCAGTGGAGCTGGCGTGGACAGCAGCAGTACTGGGGACAGAATTCATACATAGTAATGTCTGGCTGGACAAGTTCCTGCTGGCCACATTCCTTGTCCCTCTCAGGGAGCCCAGCAGTGCTCTGCACGTGGGAGTGCATTCATAGCCCCCCTCCCACTGACCCAGGCAGACCCTTTCCCCAGCACTGGTGCCCCTTCATCCCATGATGGAGGTGGGCTGGGGAATGGGATTTTGGAGGCAGCTCTGTCCCCTGGTCCTGATGCCAACACAACCAGGTATGCCCTGCCAAGAGATCCCTCTGTATTCCAGGATACAAAAATCCATCAGAGTCTTACGGTGGCCACCCTGGATGTGGACAGCTCTGCTCAGGACACAGAAGAAGCAAAGAGCCAGCAGGAGCCTGCAGCCATGGAGGGGCCCAAGGCCTGCTCTGGTAATAAGGAATTACAAATCCCCTGCTCCCACTGCTCAGGGCAGGTTTATGGCTCTTCCTGGCATGTGGTGGCATCAGGACAACCCTTGCAATGCTGTAGATGGGCTGTTACTGTGGCTGATGGATAATAAATTGGCACCAGTTGTGTCCCAGGGGTCCTTCTGTCCTCAGTAAGGAGAGGTCTCTCCTCAGAGGTTTTTTTGTGTCCCTGTGCAGGAAAGGTGTTTGTCACCCCTGGAAAGCCCTGGGCAGACACCATCGACTGCAGCTACAAGAAGGAGCACATTGCCAAAGACTTAATGGGTCTGAAGTCCTACCTGGCAGCTGGAACGATTGTCTCAGTCGTGGAGGAGAAGGTGAGTGTGTGGTAGATCTGGATGGAAGGGTAAAGAGCTGCTGGGAGACCCAGCAGTGGTATTGTGTTGCCTCTGGGAGGCAGCTTGGGATTGGAGTGACCCTGGACCAGGGTCCTGGGTGTCCCAGCCTCTGCAGCTTCAGCTCCTCTCTCTGGACAGGTGGTCTCATGGCCTGTCATTACTGAACCAGAAGAAAATGCAGTCACGAAGGGGAAGGCAAAACAGGGGCGGCAGAAGGGCAGCGCCAAGGTAGGGTGCTGGGGGAGAATGGCATCCAAACACAACTGAGCTGCCAAAGTAGTGATGGAAGAGTGAAGGTCTTTCTCCTGGGACAGCTTGGTGTCAGCAGACAACCTTTCCTCCATCTCACACCTCTTTCCAACGTCCTCCTTTTCTACAGAAGGGAGGCAGCAGCTGTTTTACACACATCTTGGTCTGGATGCAGTGGGGGGTAAGGGGCTGGGTTGGAGTTGCTTGCTTTCTGAAGGGTCCCCAACCCTCTGCTGAGGCTTGTCCCTGTGCTGGTGCCCTGCAGGGTTCTGGGCCCAAAGAGAAGCAGAAAAAGAAGAAGGAGAAATCATATGAATTCCGCAGCGACCCTCCCATTCAGAAGACCCTGGGCACTAGGCGAGTGATCCTGGAGACCCTGGTGGCCACTGAGGACCTGGTGGCAACTGTGTGTGACTTTGGGATACTGATAACTGAGCAGCCACTGCAGCTGCCAAGTCTGGAGGAGAAGGTAAGGAGTGTGTCCCAGGACAGGGTGGTGAGGCAGGGCTGCCAGGAACAGGCATGGGGTCAGCACGTCCTGCCCTGCAGCTGGCCCAGGCACCCTCCTGTCCACCCCTTAGTTCTCCTCTCCATAAAGTGGGGCTGAAATAATCCTGCCTAAGCATCATGGCTAATATAATTACTTAATGTTGATATTAGCAATGACTACTGCTTCTTTTTATGGGCCTAGGAAAACAGATGAGTTTATTTTTCCATCAGAGAATGTGCAAATAACCAGTTGTGCTTCCTCTCATGCTGCCTCTCTCTCAGCGTGGCAACACACACCAGCTGTACCAACTATTTCTATTTCCTAGATTATCTGAGGAGCTCCACCACTGTGCTCCTGCCTCCCCTCACCCCTTTCCTTTGCCCTTTTAAATCTGGGTGACAGGCAGATGGTGGTGGCTGTCACTGGACTGGAGGCAGGCAGTGAATTTCAACACAGCCTGACTATGGAAATGTCTGTCTCCACAGGACAGGAAAAAAGGCAAAGACAAGAGCAAAAAAAAGAAAGCAGGGAAAGGAAATCAGGCCAGCAGGAAACCCTCAGCATCTGCCAGAGGTGATGGAGATGGGAGCTGGCTGCGCTGAGGGTGGTGTGTGTGAGAGCAAACAGCAGCAGTGCCCAGCCAGGAGGCAGCCACAGGTCCTGCCACCCTGCAAGCCCTGGGGAGCAGGGGCTTGCTCACTTCTTGAGCCCGGGGCTGTGAATACACCCATTGATGGCTGGGCTGGGGGTGGGATGCACGCCAGGACACCTCGGTGAATCAGTGTCTGAGCAAGCACCCAGGGTGGGCTGTGGCTGTGCTGGGAGCCACACACACGTACCTGCTCTGCCTGCCAGGGGAGAAGGGCCAAGCAGGCGGGTGGCGTGGGCAGCGCTGTCTGGGATGCACAATAAGGTCCTCATCCCTGTCCAACTCACATCTCAAAGCGCTTTGCAGAGGAAGGATTATTGTTCTTTCTGGTTTAGAGATGAGATGTCCAGGGAGCCCCAGCTGCCCCAGCCAGTCCATGGTGGGGCTGGGAACATCCCCCAGACTGCTGTCACCCATGACAAGACCACCCTGTCCCCTGACGGGTGTCCCCTGCCTCCTCAAGGCAGAGCTTCCAGTCTGCTCAGCCAGCAGTGTTCTTTAACCACTGGAGACAAACCTCACCCTGCCTCTTGCAGGTTATTTTTCCAGCAATCTTGTTTTGACTGCAAAAATAGCAGTGCCAGCACATCGGAGGGGTAACCAAGAGCAGGAGGAAGTGGGGGAGGGAAGGGGTGGCAGGGTGATGCTGAAAAGCTGGCCCAGGCTGGCCCAGCACTGCTTGAAGCTACTGAAGGAGCTTTGTGTCCCTGCTCTGGCATCAGTTTTAGTCAGTAATTTAAGTGTGCAATTAGCCCACTTCCCCAAGAGCTCTTGGCTGCTTTTACATGCCCCATCACCCATGGCAATGTCCCCATCTTTGGGAGGACCTCAGAGCTCTGTAGCCCTGGGTTGTGTCTTCACTTGAGGAAGCCTGATGGCCTTCCCAGATACCTGAAAAAAAGAAAAAACTCCTTGAATTATTGTTCCCCAGAAGAAGCTGTGCACTTGCCATGTGAGCTCAGACTTCTGCTGAAGTGGGGAGCTGCTGTCAAATTACTGAAGCTGAGCAGTGGTGATTTTTACTTCCCTTTCACCCCCCTGCCTGTGGTCAGTGTGTCTGTGAAAGGTCTTCTGTTCAGCTCAAGTGAGGAAGAGCCCTGTCTGCAGGAGGTTGTGTGGCTGGAGTTGGTTTTGGGTGCACCAAAAGCCCCTGATGAAAGCAGGAAAACCAGAGTGACGAGAGATAAGTGCTTAAGATAGCACTTCATTTGGTGTCCCCTTATGCAGGTGGTGGCCACCTCCCCAGGCTGCTGCACAGCGAGGCCACTGAGTGCATATTGCAGAGTTTGTGCCTTAAGATCTGCTGCCCCCACAGCTTGTCACACCCAGCACCGTGGCCTTGTGACTCAGTCACCCCGATTGTGGCTGGGAGGGGAAACAGCGGGGGGACCAGGTGGGCTGCTCAAGTGTTGCTGCACATCAGCAGGCTCCAGCTGCTCATCACCCATACAGTGTGGAGCACCTTGGAGTTGCTGCAGTGGTCATGGCCTGAGGAATGGGGGATGGGCTCTACTGCAGCCCAGCACCCAGCCTGGCTGTGCAGGGACCAGCACTCTCACAGCTGGGGGCTGGGGCTGATTTGCATCCCTCCATCAGCAAAGGCACACAAATAATAAGTCCTCTCAGAGGGATTGGGATCCCTTCCAGATGGCTCAGAGAGAGCAGGCAGCAAGCTTTGTCTCAGTTTGCCCAGACATGGGGGATGCCCTCAGAAGTAGTCTCACGTAGGTCCCATTTTACCCCATGCTTGATTTTTCCAGGATCCCTGGAATGATTTCTTTGTACATCTTTCTGTTTTTTCCTAGGAATCATGGGGGAAATTACTGAAAAGCAAATCAATGAGGTGCTTACAGATGCTTTTTGGGCTTCTTACCTAAAGTCATATTCAACTAAATTTCCCTGAAGGCCTGGAAGTCAGTGCTGAGGGGCTGGGCATGCCCCCCCCC